GTTTGTGTATGTGTATATGTATGTATGTGTATGTTTGTGTATGTGTACATGTATATTTGTGTGCTCATATCCACACACTCCCATATGTATGTTTGATGTGTATGTGAAGAGAAAGAAGAAGGGGGAGAGGGAGAAAGAGAAGGCAAAAATGAGGCTTCTCTCAGTCATGTTATCCAGTCACTCTCCAGTGCTGTTATCCAGACCACTCTCAGTTATAAACCAATACAAACTTGTTTGAATTCTTTTCAGCAAAATGAAAATGCTTCAGTTCACAAAACTCAAGGGAAACTTGGGCACAACTGGAGAAGATCATTGGTGTGAAGAGCATCACAAACCACTGGAACCAGCTGTCTCAGCTCTCTGTTTCTCTCGTATTTCTCTCCCTCCCCCCTTCACCTCCCCTCCCCATCCCCCTCCCCCTCTCTCCCCCTCTCCCTCCCTTCCCTCCCTCTCTCTCACACTGTCTTTCCCTGTCTCCTGTTTCTCTGTTCTCAGGACAGACCAAAGCCTACCTGAAAGTAAGAACAATAGAGAACAATAGGCCCCCAACCTCACAGTTCTCAGCTCCAATCATAAGAAACTACCTTCGTTTCCTCTTGGTTTCCCCTTCATTCCAGTTGCAGTAATTCTAGCACAATTTTGATTGGGTTAGTGTGGGTAAGTTGACTGGCCAAATGCAGAGGAGAAGGTGTGTGGCAGGAACCTCTTTGAGGCTACATTGCTGATATGGCTACATAGGTCTAATATGGAGAGGGTGCCTACTCCCCCACCCCATCCAGCAGCCTCCTGAGGGGTTTGACAGCTGCCTCTCCTGCCTCCCCAAATCTTCTCAGCCCTTTCCTTTTCTGCAAAGCCTTCAATCTAACAGGCAGCACAGTCAGACTAAGATGCTACCCTCTCCAGAACCCTGAGGAGCCTCTAGACATCCCTACAAAGAAATACTCCCCTCTCCAGTAAAAAGTACTCAGCTGGGGACTGGGAGTCCTTCAAGGTCATCAGAGGGCTAGGAGAGGTTAAAGGCACTAGAGTAGAGGTTCTAACTACCCTTGGGCCAGGCTCAGAAATCTCGCCCATGACAGGCAGCGGACCAAAAAGGTTGGAATGAAGGAAGCCAACAGTGATTGGCCTCTGAGAAGTATGAACTTGTCTGTAGTGAACTGGAGAGGACATCTGAATTACTCCCCAAGAGCTGTCCAGGTCTTCAGTACAAGAGAACGGCTCTAAAATTGTTCTGGCCTCTGCACTGTGCCTGGCCTCTTGGCCCTGGGAGGAGCAACAGACTGACCCCCTCCCCAGCAAGGTCATTTATAGGGCATTCCACATGCAGTGGTTTATGTCGAGTTATGGCATAACCTTGGGCATTTAGTGCTCAGGTTTCCTTTAAGCTGCTTCTACAAATGAATAACCAGCAATGCTTAATGACTTGCCCAAGGGCACATGTCTCTTAGTAGCCTCCTGAACACCCTATCCAAGGTTCACATAACTGAATTACACACTACACAACTGACTTGGGACATTGTTAATAAATACTGCTTTTATGGAGATCCCAGGGCATGAACATTACAACCCAAAGCTGTGGTTTTGTAGTAAGGTACAGCCTGTCCTTGGGAACATTTGAATGTGCAAATTTTAGAAATCATGTAACCATAATAAATTTAAGAGTTCAAAGGCATCCTGGAGCTTGTCCAGACAGTTCCTTCTTTTCCGATGAGGACACTGCAGAGGGTGTTCTCCAATTGAGTAGACCCTGGCTACTGTTCAAAACTTGAGGTAAGAAAATTGGAAAAATTTGGAGAGGAACAAAAAACAAGCTGCTATGTGGGACAGAAGAGACAAGAGAAAGTTTTGCTTTATGCTACCGCTTTGGTTTATTTGCCTTGTGCTATTTGCTCATTGTGAACAAAAGTGGCAGAGGAACAACTTGGGCAGTTTTTGCTTATTGGATCTCTTAGCCCACGTTCTAGACAAATGTCCACAGAGAAGAAAGGCACAGCCTCCTGAAACAGCCACCACAGTATCTTCAGGAGTTACTGAGACAAGGTTACTGAGTACATGCTGAGGGAGCTGTGGGAAAAACAGCAGAGTCACCTGTGGCTGTTTGCACACAGCCACTGCTCCTTCGTGATTCCCAGAAGATAGTCTTGACTGGAGGCATGGTTTAAAGAGCAGCAGCTCCATGGTTAATTTTGAACAGGCATACTCAGCCACATTTTTTTTTTTTTTGACAGTGCCCTTTAGAGTTCCCCAGAACAGATAAAATAAGGCTCTGCATAGGAAAGCACAGATGGATGGCTACATTATGATAAATCAAGGCTATCACAACTTTCTGCTGTTATCTTAAATAAAACTTTTGTTAAGAGAAATCCATTGTTAAACACAAGGCACACTTGTGTAATACATAATGCATAAGAATACATAAGGAAATGAGCAATATGTACGCGTATATTAAACATAGAGTATACATCTGTAGGTAACTTGGGTTCACTTCACCTCTTCTCTAGCCTTCCCTTTGCTCCCAAGAAGACAAACTAGAGTGTTATTCAGCTTCTAACTAAGGCCAAAGAGCTGTGTGGAGAGTGAGATCCAGAAAGCCTTACACAAAGGCTGCTAAATTAGCATATAAGAAGAATCTGTCCACAAAAAGAAAGGCTGGGGTCTTTTAGAACTGGCCAGAGACACTTGCATCTACACCCCAGGGTGCCTAAAGGTAACATTTTAATACTAAGATACTAATGAGACATGCCATGCATGAATTTGTAAAGACAACTCCATGTAATGTAGTGTACACAAGCAATCTCATGCTATGAAAATGACCCCAAACCCCAGTAAATGTGGTGTGAAAGCCCCAATCCTTTGGACAGTCTTTATTGAGCTTCTAAGCCTTCTCTCTGCTCTAGGCCATTCTCCTTTAGAAGTGTATTCTTTAGGGTTTCGCTGGGTAGTCCTGGCCATCCTGGAACTCACTCTGCAGACCAGACTGGTCTGGAACTCTGAGATCTGCCTGCCTCTGCCTCCCGAGTGCTGAGATTAAAGACATCTGCCACCACTACCCAGAAGTGTATTCTTAACCTTTTAATTTTCTTGCTATTATCCACAAGGAATGGAAGAACCTGGAACTCCCTCTAGTGGTGTTTATCAATCCTGATATCTGCCAATATCACGATCAGACAATATTTTAGTGTGCCACTATAAAAATATGTCAGTAATATCTTTCTAGTTAGATGATTATAAGAAATCAAATGGGAAGTCACTCATAATTCTTTTCTCTAGGGTTAAAAAATGTTTATCTGTCAAGAAGCTGCAATATCTTGTTTATCAACTTAAGGGAGCTGAAACACTCCCAGGATCTGTAGAAACAGTAAGGTAAGTAGTCACATGAACCTTTTATACTCTATTTGCTTTGGTCAAGTGACCCTAGAGAGGCAAAGTGGGAAGTTATTAAAACTCAAGAAGCAGAGAAGACTAGATTATTTTTCAACTCACTCTCAGGGCACCTGAACATGTTAAATATTTATTCTTGGATGTCCGGATTCTTTAAAAAATTATTATGAATATTTTACGAATATTATTTCCCAAATATGTGTGGATGTGACCTTAAGTGTATTAAATGTGTGCAGGTGCGGGCAGAGGCCAAAGGCATGGGATCCTACATACCTCTGGAGACAGACAGACACACACACACACACACACACACACACACACACACACACGTCTTTCCTTCCACCTTGTGGGTGCCTTTATTCACCGAGCCAGCTCACCAGCTATGCAATTTCCGTTAGTTAAGCAAAGAGAACAAAAATTAGCGACTCTCAAGATCCAAGAAGGCTCAAAGCAGTTCGAGTCACCGAATCGTCACGTTTAGCCTGGTAGTGTAATACTGTAGACCAGTTGCAATTTATACAGTTTTTTTTAAGTTTATTATTATTATTATTATTAATCCCTGTACACCCTCCCCCACCCCACCCCACCCCACCCCAAAAAAAGAAAAAACCGGTTAGTGTCTCACTGGAACGGAAACAAACCTCACCTCAGCTGGGTAGTACTCACTAAAAGCCTAAGGGCAAATGAAAGAAACTGCCGGAGAGGGCCGGAGGGGTGGCGCGGGGGCGGGACTTTGTCTCCAAGCAACTGCTGCAGTGATTGGCCAGCTCTCCCTCAGCGGAGACCAATAGTCAGGCACGCTGCCAACGCTCGACGTTACGAGTGCGGCTGCGCGGGGCATTCGAATCGCTGACGGCCTTCGAGGCTTGGGACAGGGGCTGATGGGGTGTTTCGTCGGCGGCTGGTGGGGCATTTCACCGCTGCGCGCTTTTTCTCGTCATGGACAACCTAGAAAACGTTTTTCGGTAAGTGCCGGTCAGATGGAGTGAGGGCTTGAGCCGGACTAAGTGCCGGTCGGGACGGTTGGAGTCCGGCTCCCTCAGGCGCGCTTTCTCCTCAGCGCCGCTCCCTCAGCAGGTTCGCCATACCAGGCCTCAGCCAAGGCGGCGGCCCCCGGGTCACTAGAGTAGAGGTGCAAGCTGCAGCCGGTTACCGTTGTGTGCCGATTATTTGGGCAGTCTGCGGGACCTTCAGAAGTCACGTTTCTTCTTCATGCGGAACTCCGTCTAGACGCGAGAGACGCTTTGCCTTCAAAATCCAAACTTGTGTGGTGGAGATTTTTGTACAAAATTTCAAAGTCTGATAAAAACGCCACCCTACTAAGGAAAGAATTTACTATTTCTGAATTGCCTGATACGTAAGAAAAAAATTGAAGCTGAACTTTATGGAAAAAATGCTTGCAAGCAGATTTTTTTTTTTAAAAAGTTCCCACACTGACTGCTTTTTTTGGGGAGGTGGGGGGCTGGGGGAAGGTGACTTACCCAGTCTGTGATGTTAAGCCATTTAAAACTGTTAAATCGGATGTTACAAGAAATACAATTTTGGCAGGCAGATCTCTGAGTTCGAGGCCAGCCTGGTCTACATAGTGAGTTCCAGGACAGCCAGGGCTACAGAGAGAGAAACTCTGTCTCAAAAAGAAAAAAAAGAAAAAAAAAAAAAAAAAAAAAGGATTGATTCCACGTATGGCCGGGCGGTGGTGGCGCAGGCCTTTAATCCCAGCACCTGGGAGGCAGAGGCAGGCGGATTTCTGAGTTCGAGGCCAGCCTGGTCTACAGAGTGAGTTCCAGGACAGCCAGGGTTATACAGAGAAACCCTGTATCGAAAAAAAAAAAAGAAAGAAATACAATTTTACTTTTATCAGTCCTTTAGGTATTCAAAGAGTAAGGTATCCAAAATACCTTGTCGGCGTTGAGCAATTTAATTTTTGATCTGATCGACTAAGGATTTCCCCTCCCCATTCTAAAAAAGAAACTAGGTATTTTGTTTTTTAAACGCTAATTTATTCTAATGATTTGATGTTTTAGCATTAAACTACAGTGTGTTTAAGCCATTTTCCCAGGAGATGTGGCTGGTGTGAGGCTATTTAATGTTTACCTTGGACAAATATTCATATATCTTATTTTGCTAAATAAGAACTTCTAAAAACAGAAGTAGTGCTGACAGACATGCCAAAAAGAATCCAAAATGTGTTCCTTTTAAGTGAAAAACTGAGAGTCCTTGACTTTAAAATAAAAATACTTACATTGTTAAAATCTATACTATAAAATTTATGTCCACAAAATTATGAAAACGCCATTGCAGTTTCTCGAATGATAGTTCAATATACCGATGAAATATATTTTGAGATAAATTTTCTGCTCGTCTACAAAAACACTCCTTTTAAATTCTTTTTCTCTTATCATTTTTAAAAACCTATGAATGTTTCTCAACTTGATTCATACTGAGGATACAGTTAATTCTTGTCTTCCCTCTCTCAAAAGCTGTACACATAACTATTCTCACCCTTACTTACTACTTACTAGGACTCTGCTGTAACTTCTGAAATGATTCCTATTTATAGTTCCAGCCCTGGTCTTCTTTTTGTGAAGGAACAAAGAAGACATTGTCAAATACAGATAGAGCTTGCCACCTCTTCTCTTCATACTTTGACTCTTCTGTTCCTCAAGTTTTGTCAGCCTTGATGATTTCCCTAACATGGCTGTGATAGCTAGCTAACGTTGATCCCCTAAGGATAACTTGTGCCTACTCTTACCCTTAGCTTGCCCCCCTTTTTTATTTAATAGTTAATGAAACATGATACTATTTTTATGTTTGTGTTTGTTTACCCCTCTAGCACCTGAGGTCACTGGGACTTGATTTTTAAGCTGTGGTTAGGTATTGTGGAAGTAAGGAAAGCAAAGTCCTCTGGGAGCTCTATGGGTATTTATCAGCACTGACTTAATGTGCTTTTCCTTTGGGACAATGTTAGATTTGGATTCAAGCAAACAGTCTCTGGAAGCTCCAGATTGTAGTGCTGGGACTGTCACACCAAAGGAGAGGCTTTCTTTGGATCTTATTCTACCCTCCCCACCCCCCAACTTAACTATGCTCCTGAGAAATAAGAGTGCTTTATCTCAATCCCACTGAGTGGCAATGACCTTGGGAATCACCAAATCTAGATAGACTTTGAGGTAAGTACTGCTTCTGACTTTTCTGAACACCTCTGAATGATTGCTCTTTTATATGATGTTTGGGTTGATATTCAAGATTTCCATTCTCAAGTATATAGACAACATAATGTAGAATCAAATATATCTTTGGCATCTAGGACTTCTTTCTTTCATGTATGTACTTTTCTGTTCTAGCATGTTTGAAGCCCATATGCAAAACTACAAGGGTAATGACCCACTTGGAGAATGGGAAAGGTTAGTGTATGTTTGTTTGTTTTTCTTTAAACAAAGGAACCATACGCTACCCTGTGGAATACTAATAACTAATATCCATATTTTTCTAGCCTTATGAAGTGGGTAGAAGAGAATTTTCCTGACAATAAAGAATACTTGGTGATATTATTAGAACATTTAATGAAGGAATTTTTAGATAAGAAGAACTACCACAATGATTCAAGATTCATCAATTATTGCTTAAAATTTGTAAGTATAGTTGCAGGTAGATAATTAAATATAATGTTTTATTTCTTGTCCTCTCCCTTTTTTTGGGGGGTGGGGATAATGGGAGGGTTTCTCTTTGTAGCCCTGGCTATCCTGGAACTCACTCTGTAGACCAGGCTGGACTGGAACTCAAAGACATCCATTTACCTCTGCCTCCAAGTGCTAGCATTAAAGGGGTGCCCAACACTTGGCTGGCTTTTAGACTCCTCCCTTGTTAAGATCATTTTAGACTGCCTTTCTTACATCAAGTACTTGTTTTTATTCAGGAATGTTTTAGAAGTTATATAGTCAGAAGTATGTATTTTATAGCCTTGGCTTCTGAAATACTGAAGAATCAGAGATTTAATTTTAAAACCCCTCTTTATTTCATATGTCTTAAGTGTTCCAACATGAGATAGGAACTAAAAGTTAAATGAATTGTTAGATAAGAAATGTGGTTGGGGCCAGTTGGGGCTGACTTGGGAGAGAGAGGCAGGCAGATCTCTGTATTTCCTGTCAGCTTAGTCTATAGAGAGAGTTCTAGAACATCCAAGGCTATGTGGCAAGGCCCTGGCTTAGAGAGAGAGACAGAGAGAGAGAGAGAGAGAGAGAGAGAGAGAGAGAGAGAGAGAGAGAGAGAGAGAGAGAGAGAGAGAGAGAGAGAGAAAGAGAGAAGAAAACTTGATGCTTTAGGGAGAGATGATAAGCAGGAGCTCTTAGGTGCTAAAAGAAGTCTGTGGGAATAAATCAAATTCACCAAGAGTATAGTAAATAAATGTTAACTGAGAGTTAAATATCAAAAAAAATTTTTTTAACTATTACTATATAGTTATACATAATAACTAGTATATATACTATATATTATTATATGTGACTATAGTTATATGTAATAACTAGTATGTAACTCTAATAGCTAGCATATAATAATAACTAATAAAATAATTTTTTTTTGTTTTGTTTTTTTCAAGACAGGGTTTCTCTGTGTAGTCCTGGCTGTTCTGGAACTCACTCTGTAGACCAGGCTGGCCTCGAACTCAGAAATCCACCTGCCTCTGCCTCCCAAGTGCTGGGATTAAAGGCGTGCGCCACCACTGCCCGCCTTTTTTTTTTTTTTTGTAAAATAAAATTTTAACTCAGAGACTAAATATACTAAGGAAGGAGGTAGTCTTTAGTATATAAAGGAGGTACATTTAGTATATAAATGTACTAAAAGAAAGAGGCAGTCTCAGACTTTTAAGAGGGTAGGATTCTGTGTTTATATTATGTATTATGGCTTCCAGTTTAGGGTTTCTATGGGATTCCTGAGTGTGCAAACAAGTAGGTCTCAGACTCTTGTGCCTTCTCTTGGGTTTGTCTTATCTAATTTCGATGTGATCATTTTTGTTTTACCCTATTATATTTTATCTTGTTATATTTTAAAAAAATGAATGGATGAATGAACAAATGAAAACCTAGCTACTAGGGTAAAAGTTAACAGCTAACCTGTCATTTATACCTACTGGGAGAGGGAGAATCTGTTTTCTCAAATGGGATGACAGTGACTCCAGGGTAGGTCTCATGTTCGGGAATAGTTGACCAACAAATAATGGACTCCACAGCTTTTTGCATACTTTCATTTGGTTACAGTTTGTTTTTTTGTTCTTGTTGTTTTTGTCTTTTTGACACTGATGTGTTTTGGAGTTATGTTATTGTATTGGGTTTTTTGGTTTTTGTTTTTTGAGAATTTAAAGTTGGGTAGGTAGAAGATGAATACGATCAAATTATATTCAAACTTAAAAGTTGTTTTAAATAATAAAAATATGATTAAAAAAAACCCAAAACATGTTTTCAAAAGAATTTCAGAACCAGTTAAGATGTTGCATATCATGCAGCACGAGTAGAAACCCCCCACAGTGGCAACATGTGTTTAATTAAAATATTGTTACTGACTGTAAAAAAAAAAGAAAGAGAGAGAGAGAGAACTCTCTAATCTGAAATGAAAGCTTGGGGCTATGAATTCTAGTAATAAAATCATATGGAATAGAGAATGAATGTGAAATTGTTACCTAAATTATAAAATACTATAATTAAAGGCACCTTGTGGGACTTGAGTAAGCTCAGACTTATGACAAAAGAAGTATTTCATGTAATGAATCATTGCAGGTACTACTGTTTTGTGAAATACTTTGATAATTATTGAGTATCAAGGGAAGAAATGACTTTTAGATTTATAATCAGAGAGCAACATTTGTCTTTACCTACATAAAACCCAGACTTTCGCAAAGACTGAATAGTGTAAGTCTCACTGGGCTCTGGGAAAGAACTAGCCTAGCATATTGGTTGTCTTGTGTATAGTAGTTAGTTATAATACACAGTTATGGAATAGAGTAACAATATGTAAAAAAATGTATATAATGTTGTGATTTAAGTAATTGGTATATAACTTCTGGCATTTATCATTTTGTGTGTGTGTGTGTTGGAAGTCAAAACCCTCTCTATTAGCTATTTTAGAATATAAAATTATCAACATAGTTTCCTAGTATGGAACATTAGAAGTCTTTCTTCCTATCCAGCTACTCTCTATATTCATTAACCATCTCTTTGCACCTCATTATTTATGTGTGGTTTTGCTCTGGATTTCTGTAGGCTGAGTTCAACAGTGACCTTCATCAGTTTTTTGAGTTTCTGTACAACCAGGGAATTGGAACCAAGTCATCATATCTATACATGTCCTGGGCAGGGCATCTGGAAGCCCAGGGAGAGCTGCAGCATGCTAGTGCTATTTTTCAGACAGGAATTCACAATGAGGCTGAACCTAAAGAACTACTACAACAACAATACAGGTAGTTTCAAAGTGTGTAACTCTTTTCTTTTTTTGTCTGTATCATTATGTGTATGTACTTTAACTGTAAGTCATACTGTATGTGTGTTGTAGGTCTGACCACAAATAGAGAGCTTTATACTTAGGATACTATGTGACAGATTTTATGTCACTTTAAACTGCAGCATTGTGAATCAACATAGAAGATCACATCAAAGAAGGTCACCTACAAAAGACAGAACAAATTGTCCCTTTAAAATAACCCATTAAGTCACAAATAGAATTATCCATTCATAAAGACAAAGCCTTCTTGAAGATTTGGAGATGATAATTTATAAATCTCACAGTGTAGGTTGAGTATCAACATGAAGTTTTGGTGACCATTCAAACTGTAGTGAATTATAATGAATACCTTATTTTTCTCCTCTGTTACTTTTCTGTTATAAAAGTGCCTCATTTGGGAAAACTTGAAAATGTAGAAAACTTTATATTTTTCTTCTCCATATTACATAATTACAAACATGCTTTACAGAAGAAGCTATGTACACACTGTATGTCAAGATCTTTTCCTCGAAAAGTAATATATTTCTTACATTTATTTAAAACATATGTTTAGACAGTTTCAGGGCGTGTGAGACATACAACCAAACCATCTATTCAGAGTTTTTCTTCTGCATTCTCATTAGAAGAGTTGGGGACCTTCCATGTATTGCACACCTTGCTAGCATTCAACATTTTCAACATACTCACCTATTTCTTTCAGTTTTACTATAGTATTTATGCTTAAAAAAAAAAAACTTTATTGTGAGAATTTTCAAATATACATAAAAAAGAAAAAATCAATATCTAATAAATGTTCATTTATATACCTTTAGTAATTGTTGACAGTTGATTTCTTTAAATTTTAAATATATGGCTGCTTGCTTGTATATACTTATTTATGTGAACTCTGTATGTACTTGATACCCCCAGATGTCAGAAGGGAGCACAGGATCCCATTGTGAAGCATCATGCGGGTGCTAGGATCCAAACCTGAGTCCTCTGGAAGAACAGTTAGTGCTCTTAATCTCTGAGCCATCTCTCCAGCCCCTTGACCTTTTTTGGGGGTACTAATGATATTTATCTTTTTTACTTGTTTGGGCCAAGCACACACCACTTGGAGTGTGTGAAGATCAGAGATTAAATAATGGTGGTCAAGCCTGGCAGAAGCATACTTACCTGCAGAGTCATCTCATTAGCCACATGCTGACAGAATTTTTATCTCAAACCACTACAATCCTCTTTTTAAAAAAAATGCTTCCTTATTCTATGTTGCCTAGTAAAGTTAATGATAATTCTTTAATATTATCTAACTTTGTGTCTTTTCAAACCACCATGTAAAATGGTTTTGTTACCATTTTGTTTTCTTTGAATTAAGCATCAAGCAAGATTTAGTGCTTAGTTGTATATCTCTTCTCTATAAAATACACTCTTGTTTTCATTACCCAAAAATGTCAGACTTGGGAAATGGACAATTTTTAATAGGTCAAATTGGTATGGAAAAGCACTATGAAATGATGTATGTGTGAAATTTTTATAAAGCATGAGTGATGCAACCCACTGTCCTTTGAAACAGTGGTCTAAGTTTTATATTTGATTTCTTTAAAATATAATCATTTTATTTCAGATTATAAAATATGTGAAGTAGTTGAGGTATCTTTGAGTTTTAACATCTTCAGACTTTCACAGAGAAAGAATGTGTATGTGCTTAACAAAATTGAAAAATATTGACATAAACTGTGTAAGAGGAAAATGTTCTAATATAAACATTCCCAGAATTTTATTTCTGAGTTTAAAGCAACTTTGAAATTCAGTTTTTCTTTTTCTCTCTTTATTGCTTGTTGTATTAGTTACATTTTGGCACAGATGTATATTAAACTGTGAAGTTAAAATCTATATGTATCTTCTATTATCATGTAGGCTATTCCAGACACGCCTTACTGGAACCCATTTGCCAGCTCAAGGTAAAATGATACTTTTTAAAATATCTAGATTGCTGAAACTTTAGTCTGTAATTTTTACTAAGTTTTTTGTTTTGTTTTGTTTTGTTTTACTTTTTAAAAGGGGCCTTATGTACTATTTAATGAAAGCCAAAGAATTACCAAATTACTGGTTTGGATAATAGGAAAAGCACTCTGATAATAATCTTACAAAATAGCTCTGTACAGCAGAGGAGCTGTGTCTTAGCACTGTAATACAGAAAACTGCAAGCAAAGCTTAATGAATTTACCATGTGTGAAGAATTTTTTAAAAATAAGCTAACATCTAGATACAATGTAGTGGTACACACTTGTAATTCCAGTACTCAGAAGGAAGGCTAACAGAAGGAACATAAGTTTGAGGACAGCTAAGGCTAAATAGCATTACACTGTCTTTTAGAAAAACAAAATGAAGATTGTCCCAAAGAGAGTAAATGCTGTAATCCTCATTTGTTCTGAATTGAATCAGAAAGGTGTAATAGAACTTTTAAAAATGTGGCCTTTTCTTTTCTATCAGAAATAAAGATGCCATTCAACAATAGTTACTGTCATCTTATTTAAAATAACCACTTAGGCTTTATATTCCATCCAGGTATTATCTTTTTGAGTTAATCAGAAAATTATTTCTTTAGTATTTTTCTTAATTGAAAATTAGTCCATTTTCTGAGACAGTTTAAATAGGTTGGTTTTTTAAAATAATTTTGGTACTTATGTGTTAGATTTATATGTATGAATGTTTTGCTTGCATGTATGTATATCTACACTGCATATATGCCTAGTACCTACATAGAGGGGACATCACATTACCTAGAAATAGAATTGTGGATGATTGAGCCACTGTGTGGGTGGTGGGAGTTAAACTTGGGTCTTCTGAAAGATCAAATGTTCTTAACTGCTGAGCCATCTCTCCAGCCACAAATAGATTTTTTAAATACAATATACTGGAAGAATAGAGGAATGTATTATGTACTGATTTTATTTACTGTCACTTCTCACTTATTTCTTATCTCATTTTTCCCCTCACAGCTGTAACCTCAGAACCTATGCATAATGCACAGATTTTAAACCAAGTTATGATAACAAAGTCAAGTCCAGGAAAAAATTCAGCCTGTGTTCCTAGGAGTCAGGTAATAAGGACCTTTATTTGTATGTTGCATAGAAATTAGGAATGTTATTGGACAGCCATTCTGGCTGCCTTTGCATCTCATTCCATTGACACTGTCTCCTGTGATTGACCTCCATTTCAACCACTATTCCATGATAGTTCTCAGAGCCTTTCTATTATCTCTGTTCAACTGGAATACAACTTGTCAGACCTAGGGCCCCTGCCACACAACCCCCTCTGCAGCTTCTTTCTTCCTAATTGCCTCTATTCTGTTGGCCTCTTCATAGGCCCAGAAAATCCCTATTTTGGATCACATTTGCCTGGAGGTTTTTTGACCCTGCTTTTGAAAAAACCCAGAACCTCAAACATTCATCCACATAACCTCAACCAGAACAATAACACTTTCAGGCTTTTCTTCCCTATGTTCCATGTCACTGCTTATATTATGTGTCTCATTTACCTATCAGTTAATTCTTTAATACCAAATTATTGTGATAAACTTAATTCAGATCACACAAATTTGGGGTGCCTCTGTCAAAGCTATAAAATAAGATACTATTTCTGCCACATAGCAGAAGATAAATCTTCTCATTTTCTGCTATCAACAATTACATACGTTACTGTATCTTTTTCTGCCTTTCTATGGAGTAAGTGGCTGACTCCTTGTGCCTACTTTTCATCCCCATAAATATTGTTGATTCGTCTAAATCTCTTCTGCCTTTCTTGCTTATAAACACAAAAATACTCATATCTCCTTCTGCTTCATATTCCTTAGCATCTTTCTCTTTTAAAGTACCATCACTCTTTAGGACCTCCTTCTAGCTTAATCCAATATAAAGACTTGTGTTTTTCTAATGTAGCACATTCCTAGAAATAGAATGTGTCTATCGTGGATAGATTGTGCAGACTATCCCAGTTTATATCTTACAACGTATGCCACTCTTATTTTTTCTACTATTCTAAATTTTTAAACAGATGAAATGAATGTTGCTTTTCTTTTGGTCATATTCCTCAGACCTAGCTCATTGTATGGTAAGTGTGAAATATCAATAAATATTTGTTTAGTGGTCTATTACTACTATTGGAAATTTCTGAGAGTAAAACAATAACAAGGAAATTTTAATTTTTTAAATTTAATTGCTTTCGTTTGAGGGAACCTCAGTATGAAAAGTTAACTAAAAATTATGTCACTTAAAGCTCCAGCTATCAATTATAATTTACATATGATGGTAAATATACTTGATGTTAAAAGGCCCCTTCCCACAGGGCATTTTCATATTATTTGTGAACTAATTTGTATGAAGGCGTCTCTGGTAAATGAATGCTCAAGGTTGTTTTCTATCTTTTAGGGTTCAGAGTATTCTGGTGTGGCACCTTCCACTTGTGATGAAAAGTCTAATATGCAAGTACAACGAGTGCATTATTACATAAATTTCATTAAAGTTACTTCAGTACACTGTTACAAATGGTGTCTTTCTCCCCAGTAGGGAACAGAGAGTGATCATGATTTCCAAGTCAGAATGTTCTGTCAGCTCATCTGTGGCACCCAAGCCTGAATCTCAGCAAGTTATGTACTGCAAGGAAAAGCTTATTCGTGGAGATTCAGAATTTTCTTTTGAAGAACTGAGAGCTCAGAAATACAATCAACGGAAGAAGCATGAACAGTGGGGTACTTACATTCTTATATGTTGGAATTGTTTTATGTCATTTAAAATAATGGATAATTACATAACTGAATGAAGCACACATGAGCTAGAGTCTTGGTTAGATGCTAGTCTTGCAGCAGCGCTCGCTTATCCACAGGCTCCTTTGCTGAACTGATAGCTGGTGATTGAAACAGTTCTACAGTAAACATTCTTACTGGTGGTTCTTTGCATTAGTGAAATAGTGTTTCTATATTCTGTATGTGAATTTGAACCTGTGTATACAGTAGTCCTAAAATTTGTAGAGCATTTATTTGTTCTGTGAAAGGATTTATTGAGTACTGAGGCTCAGAAAAGATTTCCCAAGTTTGCATCTACTTTAAACAGAACATACCGACATAGTTTTCTGATCAGCATGCCACATTTATGTTTATAAAATAAATATATTATTATTTATATAAATTATCTATGTTTATGAATAAATACTTTTTTTTTTGTTCCTCATAAGGAAATGTGCATTTGCACGTGGTATTTACTATAACAGCATACACTCTAGAGAGAGGAAAACAAACCTTTGTTCCACTCAGGGTTTTATACCATCTAGGTTATTTGGACTAGATCTGTTATGTGAGCCTTTTATTCATTACTTTTTTAAAAAGATTTTATTTAAGGTTATATGTGAGTGTGGGTTTTTGCATGTGGGTGCAGTGCCCTCAGAAGAGGTGATTGTGAGCTATCTGATATGTGCACTGGGAACACAGCTTAACTTTATAAGAGCAGCAAGCTCTCTTAACTGCTGAGCCACCTCTCTAGCCCCTATATTCATTACTTTTTATATTTAACCAGAACCTTCAATATTTGTTATGGACCCATTTTGAATTGTCCTTGATAGTTTCCTTTCATGTATCACAACCTGTAGTCTACAGCCACAAACATTCTGACATGTTTGGAGTATGCCTTTATGTGATATTTGTAGGAAATAGAACTATCCAAAGTTTTACTTGAAACTCTGACCCTTAGTACACTTTATTTCCCAGAAAGGTGGAGCTGGAAGGGTGACTCAGCAGTTAAGAGCTTTTGCAAAGGACCTGAGTTCAGTACCCAGCCATGTCAGGTGACTCACAACGAACACCCTGATATCACCCAGCTCCAGGGAATCTTAACACCTCTAGCTTCTATAGGCACTATCACACACATGTACAGAGAGCCAGCTTCTGCAAATTGTCCTCCAACCTCCATACCTTGGGACTTGTGCCCTTTACTTGTTTGTTTTTGAGAAGTGCCTAGAGTTAATTTTTTTTAAACGTGAAATAGAGGATGATGGGGGGATAGCTCAGTCAGTAAAGTGTTTGCCATACAATAATGAGGGTGTGATTTGGATTCCTAGGAAACCACATTAAAAGTGGTAAGCATGATGGCAGACAATTATAGTCACAGCACTCAGATGGCAAAGGCAGCTTAGACTACTCAACTCCAGGCCAGTGAGAACACAAACCAAGGGGATGGCTCATGAGGATCCCTGGCTTCCATGTGCACATATGTACATAGGCATATGAACACAAGCATATAAACATATGTAAGATGAAATCATTAGAAAATAAAAACAAATGGAAAATCATTTTCAAGTGATTTGCCGCACAGTATGATTATTTTTATAAGAAATGTTTAGCATTAGACTCTGCTGTTGCTGAATATTATTGATTCTATAAAAATTTTTGTGTAAGACCTGTATTTAATAGTAATTGTGGTGAGGACAGGTAAAGGTTACAGTTAAAAAATAATGTAAGTTTAAGCTCTGAAATCTAATAAATATGGAGAACTTTGATTTAAAAATTATCTGTCCTAAATTGTGACCTTTTATATTTTGCATGCAATTCTCTGATGAAATTTTAAGAGCAAACCATGGTTTTTTTTATGTTCTTAAAGTTAGTGAAGACAGAAATTATATGAAAAGAAAAGAAGCAAATGCTTTTGAAGAGCAGTTATTAAAACAGAAAATGGATGAACTTCACAAGAAATTGCATCAAGTGGTGGAATTGTCTCACAAGGACCTGCCTGCTTCTGTGAATAGGCCTGATGTATGTCCATGTTCTTCACTATTCCAAATGTCCATTATTCCCAATACTACTAGCAATTGTTTTCTCTGCTTTGTTTTTACAGTTATTCTAATTTAGCTAGAAATCTTACTGAATTAATAATTTGATACATAAAGGTGTGAAAATTTGGAATAAGCAAAGAAATATAGAGACTGAATGGAAATAGTTTTTTTTTTTTGTTTTTGTTTTTCAAGACAAGTTTCTCTGTGTAGCCTTGGCTGTCCTGGAACCCACTCTGTAGACCAGGCTGGCCTCAAACTCAGAAATCCGCTTCCCTCTGCCTCCCAAGTGCTAGGATTAAAGGCTTGTGCCACCACTGCCCAGCCTGAATAGAAATGTTTAGCTCAAGCTAGTCTCCACAGATGTCCAAAGTACAAGAGACCCTGAGATCCGTGATACTTCTTCTTTTTTTTTTTTTCTTTTTCTTCTTTTTCGTGATACTTCTTAATGGAGTACTTGATCTGTGTTGTGACTGCCCTTTCTCCATACTAATTTGCTAGATGAGGAAATAGTGTAAGTCATTTAAGTTACTATTTTAGGGGATGGTTTTGGCTTTTTTTTTTTTTAATTGGTTTTGAGACAGGTTGTTAATATGTAGTCCTTACTGGCCTGGAACTTGCTATGTCAACCAGCTGTACCTTGGACTGCTTCTCAATAAGGCATTTGCCACCATACACAGCTTAAGTTAACTGTCTTAAAATTTGTAAGAATACTTCCAGAGGATAAGACATTAGCCCTTCTGTATTTTAAAAGTTTATCCTTCCTATTATTGACCATGAATTTGTGGAAATTAATATAAATATATCCTGTTCATTAAATAGAAAATGGCTACTAAGAATATTATCAGAGCACTGTGGGGAATATTTGGTAACATTAATTTTAGTCTTTTCCTAAAATTTAGTAAAGAGAAATATGATATTTTGTTTTGTGATTCACTTGTCCGTTTTAATAATTTCACAAATGAAGCAATAGGTTCCATTATGACATTGTCATACTTTCTTTTTGTTGATTCTCCTTTCCCTTTCTCTGACCCTCCTTTTACCATGTATTCCTTTGCTCCTAGTAGGTTCCTTCCCACTTAGATATCACACATATTGTTACTAACTCCTCAGTTTTTGTTTTATTAGACAGGGTTTTACAGTGGCTTAGGCTGGCCTGGAACTTGCTAGGTAGCCAGATCAGCCTCAGCCTCATTGCAATTGTCCTGTGCCTTAGGCTCCTATGAGCCACTTAGTTACTCCTTAAATACTGATCTTGTGGAAGCCAATTTGTTTTTCAGTGGCTGAAAGTATGGACTGGAGAGATAGCTCAGCCAGTAAAGGTGTTTCCTGTACAAGCCTAATGACCTGAGTTTAATCCCAGAAACCCATGTAAAACAGGCAGATATGGTAGGACATATCTGTAATTCCAACCCTCATACAGTGAGATGAGAGGCAGAGACATAGAAATTGCCTGGAAGCTTGTGAGCCAACTGGACTGTAATATGTGATGCAGAGAAGTGAGACCTTGGCCCAACAAAGTAAGAGTCCTAAAAGGTGTCCCCTGATTTATACATGTACACACACAAATAATAATTTAAAAATTTTTCATAAACTTTTGGTGTGTCCATGCTTAAGAAGCTACAGGAAGCCATCATAGAGGCTAGTCTTTTAGTTGTTGTTGCTATGTTTTGAAAAGGTCAAGACTTCCTAATTTTGTTTTTGTTTATATCTTTTTGTTTTGCATGAAAGGTTAATCTATTATGTATGGCACAAAATACATGCTCCGAGCAAGAACTGAGGGGTCCAAGTCTTTCATCCATCAATCAGCAGACCTCAGAGAACTCAGGAGAGAAACCACAGGAAGAACCTTCTGTTCCTCTTATGGCAAATGCTGTTAATAGCACTTTGCTGTTCCCAGCTGCCAGCCTGCCAACTCTTCCTATTCCTGTAAGTGACCAGTCAGAATCCAGGTAAGCTAAATGTCCTAGAAATGGTAGTGATGTGAATGGCATGTATAATTTTTTTTTCGTGTCATGTTGTATAGGAAATGAACAATTCTGTTTTTTTAAAAATTTCTATTTTTGAAAAAATTCTTAAATATTGGCTCTAAATCTTTCAGACTTAATCCCATACTTCTTTTACAGTATTTTTTTTTACTTTATATTATTTTATTGAATTAAAAACTTTCAGCAGTCTCAGACTATATAACTGAAAACTGAAAGTACCTTTATTTACTGGCTTTGACTGTATACCAGTATGTATTATTAATGCACAGAAAATTACTTGACATGTGCTCTGGTGTTTCCTTTGTCTTCCTTCAGAAATTGGGATAAGTGTCAATGATTCTTTGTGCCAAGATATGTTTCCACACTATTCCCCAATTTAGAAGGATTTTTCTAGGCTTCAAAAATAATACCAAATTTCTTATTTGTTTTACATTTTTTCTTTTGTTATTCATCTCTTAACTTGTGATTCAATAGGAATTTGTACAACTACAAGTAATTTGCACTTGTTTAACATTTTAATATGGTTCCTTAAGAGAATTCTAGCAGTATTAGACAGATGAGTTGACTGCCCCAGTGTGTTTAAAAGCAAGCTGTTGGGGCTGGAGAGATGGGTCAGTGGTTAAGAGCACTGAGTGCTCTTCCAGAGGTCCTGAGTTCAATTCCCAGCAACCACATGGTGGCTCACAACCATCTGTAATGGGATCTGATGCCCTCTTCTGGTGTGTCTGAAAACAATGACAGTGGATTCACATACATAAATTAAATAAATAAATCTTTAAAAAAAAAAAAAAAGCAAGCTGTTATATAAGTGGTTTGCTACCTTTTCTTCTTGTCATTTTAAAATTTGGACATCACTAATGGTTTCAGGTTCATCACAAGAAATGTACTAGTTCTACTAACACACACTGCCTGAAACTAGTGTGTTTGAATTTGGGAAGCCATTCTGTCCTATTGCATGGAGGGATGGTTGTTACTGTGCTAACACAAGAACCATTGGGTCACAGAAAAACATTCAATGATTATCTTTATTTGAACAAATTAGTATTCTCAAAGGCAGTAAATATTTCATTTACTCACACCATGGCCCTAAGCAGTTTTATTCCCAACCTAACAGACTTAACATTGTTGGCAATATTTTACTATTTCTTGAGGGGAGTTAGTTTAAAATTCTAATATGTAAAGTGCTTTTATTCTTCAATATGTCTCAAGAGTTTTTCTCTTTCAGGTGTGTGAATCAAAGTATACATGAATTCATGCCACAGAGTGGAGCAGAAACAAAAGAAGGTAGTGTTTCATTATAATGACTTCATCCAGCTTCTTTGGGTAGACTCTTTTTGGGTGGCTCAGTGTCTGTACTGTGACTGTGGTATAGGAAGACTATCTTCTTCAGAGGAAGAATGATTTTATAAAGCCTCAGACTATTTCAGACAAAAATAGAAAATTATTAGTCACATCTTCCTAATTCAGAATCCTTTGGCATTTTTCTATTAAGCTGCTCAGTGTATTCATCTGAAATGTCATAATTACAAAGGTTTGTTATTCTTACATTCTTTTGGTAGTATAGCGGAGACATTTACATAGAAGATAAATTTGTCCATTAAGTAATAAAGACATAGGTGGTCATTTACTTCCTCTCCTCATATGACTGGCATCTTTTCCACTAACAGTAGGAACAGGGCTATTTGAAATAGAAACTTACTGCACCAAGACTTGGTTCATGCTCATTAGATACAAAGCATAGTTCTAAGTAGTTAGAAAGGTAGTTGTGGATAAAAAGGTGAGAATTCCTATGGGAAAAGAGATATTACTATTAGGGTAGAGAGTTAGGATTCAAAGAAACTGACCGAGTTAAGATGTAGGTAAAAGGGAGAAGGGAATTACTCATGTAGCAAACTTTGTGAACCTGTTTCAGGTAGAAAGAATGACAAGTGTAGATCTTTCAGGGAGCAATATTCCTGTTAATGTTTCAAGCACCGAAGATACTTTCAGTGCTTTCAGATGAACAGTGGAAGAGAAGGAGAAAGAGAAATAAAGTCTGAATAAACCCTTGCTGAGTAAAATGAAAAACATCCTTAATATTTAAAACATAGTAGGAGGAAAAGATTTACAGTATTACCAGAAGCAGGTAGTACTTGGTATATTATGAGCTAAGGATGCTATTCATGACAAAACTAACTTGGTGTGACCTTTTTTTCCTATAAAAGGATAATTACTGACCTTACTTCATGATGTTATTACAGAGATAAAATAAACATGAATATATGAAAGCCCAATCAATGATAATAAAAGTAGTGATCATTATTGATATTGGTAAACTTAATTGTAATTACTGCAATCATGTACCTTCTAATGTCTTCTGATTGGCATATTGATAGTACATTTTGTCCCACTCCTTTGCTAGTATGTGAAACAAATAAAGTTGCCAGCATTAATGATTTTCGTACAACTCCAAACACATCATTGGGAATGGTTCAAGGAACACCATGCAAAGTGCAGCCGTCACCAACTGTCCACACCAAGGAGGCATTAGGTAAAGTATTTCATTTGTATGTATAGTGCCTCCCATAAATTAATAAAACTGATTTGCAACCTGTTAACATATTTCTTCTGTTCTTTAAGGTTTCATCATGGATATGTTTCAGGCTCCAACACTTCCTGACATTTCTGATGATAAAGATGAATGGCTATCTCTAGACCAAAATGAAGATGCATTTGAAGCCCAGTTTCAAAGTAATGATTTATTTAAAAGCTATTAAGTACACAGTATCACAGGAAGTTGCAATGACATTATCAAGAAGTAGATATGACCTTACTTTGAATAGTATACCATGTAAAAGCAGGGAATAAATAAATTACATGTATGACAGTTTGAAAATGTTGTAGTGTATATGATAATTGGTTTGGGTTTTTTGTTAGGTTGGATTTTTTGTTACATTTAATAGTGAGTGCTAAAGGACTAAAACATCATGGGTAGGAACGGTAGGGAAAGTAAGTTCTTAACATAAGGCTTAAGTACCTCCTGGGAAAGATGTCTAGGTAGAATTTGGAACTCGGCATTGCTGGAAGCCAAAGATAAGTAGAATCTAGTTAGAATTGAGAAGGTTGGGAATGAAAACTCAGGGGTTAATTTTTTTCCTAGAGGACATGAACAACAAAAACCTAAAAGTTTTGTTTTGTGCACTTTGGTTGAGTGTGCTCTGAGCAGCATTATAGGAGAGTAGACACTGCTCTGTATGTGACAGATCTCTACTGGGTCCTGAGTGCAAGAAAGATCCAGTGACCATGAATCAATCAATTCTCGCTGCAAAGTACCTTTATGTCATTATCTAGGACTTAGTATTTTTTTTTTTTTTTTTAGAGATTTCAGTACTTTTTTCATATGTAGCTGAAGTTTAGCCTGAAGGATAATGCCTTTTTATAACACAGTAATGAGATGCTATTTTGTTTTCCTGCAGAAAATGCAGTATCTTCAGAGGATTGGGGAGTTAAAAAGATTATGACTTTGTCATCTGCTTTTCCTATTTTTGAAGATGGAAACAAAGAAAATTATGGGTAAATAAAAATCTATTTTAAATAAACCTAGAGGAAATACATGCCACCAAAATGCCATAAAATGCTGAAAGTTTTAAGGCAGTAAGGAGATAGGATGGACTGCTCAGCAGATGATCTGGGTTGGAGTTTTCAGTACTGCTACCAATAGGCCTTCTAACCACAGTGAGGAGCCAATGTGCTATGCATGAGTTCCAAGACAACAGACCTCCCATAGCAGAAGCACAGCTGCAAAAGAAATGCAATTTAGTTAGAAGCTGTCAGAGAACAGGTGAATTCTCTTGATTTGGAATTATATTAAATGTGCATGACTCTGCCAGTATATCCATAAAGAATAGGGCCAATAAAGTAGAACAGTAGATTCTCTGCAGAGAACGTTTTTAAGGTAGAAGAAAGACATTGGGGTATAGAATGAGGTATTTTCCAGAATCTTCATGGTTAAAGCAAGTGAAATTATGTAAGTTACAGGTATCTTGGAATGCTGAGGTAGAATGGAGACAGCATGACCAAGTTACAGAAGTGATATCGGTATCAGAACAGGCACTAGAAATAAGACTTAAATTGTTACCTGGTACCTGAGACATCTTACGGTCAAGGCCCTTGTTTTCATTTGCTTCTAAAACTTGGAACCCAGTGTACTAAAAACATCTTATTTTTACAGTTAATTCAATTTGGACACAGTTTTACTATAGTTGCTGTGAAAGTAAGGAGTCTCTCGAACCATTAACTCAATAAGTAGGATAAGTGACAAATTATTCTAACACTTTTAGCTTATTTATTTCATCCATATGTTTTATGATTTGTATTTACACAAATCTTTCTCTAGCTTACCACAGCCTAAAAATAAGCCCTTAGGAGCTAGGACCTTTGGAGAACGATCTCTCAGCAAATGTACATCAAGATCAAATGTAAGTAAATCTCTGCTTCATCAGTGAAATATGTCTTATAATCTGTTCATTTTGCCAAATGGTTATGCTCATCAAATGGCACAAGGTGTACATAACTTTCCGAAAATCCAGTGTTGCATGAAAAATGTGTTAGTCAACAAAATTGAATTCTATAATAAGTAGAGAAAATAAAAACAATTATGTGTTCCTTGCCCCTCAAGAACCATTCCTTTAGCTAGGTGGTGTCATCCAGGGGTATATATTTTTTTCTTAGACATAAGAATTAATACCTACAGTGGACTATTAGTGAGAAACCCAGAAAACTGAATTGATGAAAATGAACCATCAACAGCACACCATAGTAGACAAAGTTCTCCTGTTCATTGGCTCACAGCATTCCTATGTGTTAGCAATCATTGTACCTAGACTTCCACTGTGACCCAGAGTGTTCCCCATGTGTATGTTTACAATTTCCTGAAACACTGGACTGGAGTTTAGATTCAGTGCCACTACTTTAAAACTATGTTTTGTTGAATTATTCTGCTGCATGCTTTAATAAACAAACAAAGAAGGTACATTTTCTATATATGCTGATGCTGAGCAGAAACTGGCATATTTATTACCTTCCAGTTTTTCCTTCAATACTAGAAAAGATGGTAGAATTTATAAAAAGGTGTGATGTGTAGAATGTGTATGTGGCATTTTAAGAACTGAGGGGATTTATCAAGTTTAGTTTTGACTAAACTTTAGTTCTCTTTCTCCATGGATTCTAAAACTTAGCCTATAATTACACTCTTAAATGTCTGATTTTATAGGCCATGTCAGTGAAAATAGATGACCTTATGCCAGAAATTATGGATGTGATTTATTTTGGTTTTGTCTTTTTGTAAAGTGAGGTGGGGGCCACAAGAACCAACTTGTCAGTGGTCAGACCTGGGACAATTTGGAAGAAATTTGAAAGAATAAGTAATGTAGTATTGTATTATAACCTAAGAAATAAAATGAATATCCATGTTCATACAATAGTGGAGAGGGGGCAGATCTCCCTTACAGAAGCATTCTAAGGAATGTAGAAGGTCATCATTAGAACACTAAGATAGTAACTGCTATAGGCAAGGTCCATGGATGACTACTGACGTTATTAAGAAGAAGCGGTGTCTACATAGCTCCGAAGCTTCTTACAAAATTATCATTTACTATCCTGGTTTAACATTTCACCAGGAGGGCCAGAAAGATGGCTCAGCAGGTAAAGGCATTTGTCACCAAGCCTGAAGATGAGAGTTTGATCCCTGGGACCCACATGGTAGATTGATTCCCAAAGTTGTCCTCTGACCTCCACATGTGAGCCTTGGTACATGTGTGTACCAAGTACACACACAAAGATAAATTAATGTATATTTTTCTGCTGGTTCTTTTGATGAAGCCCTGTGGGAGGCAGAGTTTACCTCTCTTTCAGTATGGGCAAGATATGGTGATTTATATCAGAAAAGACAGTGGGGAGAGGGAATAAAATTCAGTAAGGAAACCTTAGAGATGTCTGACCAAGTGGTTGGTTTAACATCACCAGTAATAAGTTACGTTTATAGGACATAGCCTCAAAGTTTAATGAGATACTCCATTACAGTCTTCTCTGGAGTCTTTAGTCCTATTATAAAAGCCTAAGCTAGACACAGTCATAGATCCTGACCTCAATTCAAAAGTGTCAGTGGAATAAAGAGTAGGAAGGATCCACAGGTGGCTGTACTCAGAAGCAGGTGAATAGGCAGGACAGCCATGTGCAGTCTGCTGACCTATGTTGAAGGTTGGAGAGGAAATAGAATAACCAAATAAGGACTCCAGGTACTAGAATCATTTTTAACAGTAAACCACACTTTGGATAAGATTACTGTTAAAGGGAACTAACAAAGCAGAACTCTTTACTATCTTTGTAACTCTCTTTTCAAGTTTAAAGAATAATGTACAAGATAAAAACATGTCCAATTGTTATGCACCTGCGTTGAAGTATGCTAAAAACAAGGTTTATATCTATTTTTCTTGAACTTTTTTTTTTTAATCTTAAAATGTTTGAGGTTCTGTTTTGTTTTTTGAGAAAGGAGCTTGCTATATTGTTCAGGATGATTTTGAACTCCTAAGCTCAAGTGACCCTCATGCCTCCACACCCTCCTAAGTAGTTTGTACTACAGGGCTGTTAACTGCTGGACTCAAAGTGTTGATGTGTTAAATTTCATCAACAGAGCAGACAAATTGTTTTTTTCAATTTGTCTTCTGTTGTAGGAAATGCCTCACACTGATGAGTTTATGGATGAGTCAACAGTATGTGGTATTCGCTACAACAAAACCCTAGCTCCCAATCCTGTAAGTCTAGGAGACTTTACATCTGCTGCCCAGCTCTCATCTACACCATTCCACAAATTTCCAGCAGATTCAGTGCAGATTCCAGAAGATAAAGGTGAGTGTTCAACTGTCTCTGCAGAAATATACTGATTGTTATTATAGTTTCTTTTTGAAAATTCTATAGAGGAAGTTTGAAAATTGTAAAGACACTTAAAATGCACTTATGTGTGTATACATGTTTTTGTTGTTGTTGCTGTTATTTCTTAGTTTTTGATGGTCTGTCTTCATAGTCTATATTTTTAAATTTTAATAAGTAGGTAGAAAGTGAAAAAACATGTGTAATCACTTGAAGACATATATCCAACAGGACTATGTTGTATTGTGATAGCAAAGAAAAAACAACTACAAAAAGATTAAATTATTTAACTATTAGAAACAATGAACTTATATTTTCTAATCTAATGAGTAATGAATGACCAGCTTTTGTCCATGATATATCTCCAGATGTTACTTTAGAAATATAGACAAGTATACCATACAGAGAAAAATCTCATTGTAACATTTTTGCTAACTTCAAGAAAAGCATTTTAAAGCTACTTTTAGTCTTCATTTCAACCTCAAACCTAATGTAACCTTTATATAAAAGATACACATGTGTGGGCTGTCAAGACAGCTCAGTAGTTAAGAACATTGGCTGCTCAGACATCCAGGGTTTGGTTCCCAGCATTCACATGCCAGCTCCCAACAGTTTGTAACTCCAGTTCCACAGGGTCTGATAGCCTTTTCTGACCTCTGCAGGGACTGTACACTGAGATGCACAGACATAATATAAAAGTAAAACACCCATACACATAAAATAATTTTTTAAATGTTTAAAAAAATCTATATTTGAATTTAATCTAATGCCACTGCATTGAATACAGATAACTAGGTACTAAGAGGCATAATATGTGAGATTTGGAGCATTATGCCATTGTGTTAACTGTCCATTTACCAACTAAATTGTATCACTCTTAGAATTCTTTAAAAGTATAATTGTTTTCCCAAAACAATAATGAAAGTCTGTGAGATGGCCTATCAGGTAAAAATGGCTTGTTGCTAAGCTTGATGACCTGAGTTGATCTCTAGGACCCACAAGGTAAAGTGAAAGAACTGACTCCTGCAAGTTGTCCTCTGACCTCTATACATATGCAGTGACATGCACTCACTTAAGCACACATACACAAACATAATTTTTAAAAATTTTAAATCAATAATTAACTGCTGAAGAATTTTACTTCACTAGATGGAAGATATTCTAATGTCATTATGACTCTAAAAACCTAAAAATTGACTAAGAACTAAGGATATTTTCTTTTTTAAAAGATTTATTTATTTTATATATGTGAGGAGGGCATCATCAGATCCCATTACAGATGTTTGTGAGCCACCAAGTAGTTGCTGGGAATTGAACTCAGGACCTCTAGAAGAGCACTCAGTTCTCTTAACCACTGAGCCATCTCTCCAGCCTGGATATTTTCTTAAGAGTACTAATCCAATATGTTTTATTTCTTTCTTAAATCTTAGAAGTTAGTTCAAAATCCAACTATTCAAATACCATCACAAGTTTGCCACTCATAAAAATTTTGAAGTTTTGCAAATTAAGGAAAATTAATCTGTGAAGAGTTCTTCAAAGTCTCAAAAATAACTGTTCTGAGGATAGTGATTTCCAGCTTATCCACTGTGATCCTATAAATAGAAGCTAATGTTCTAATACTAAATAAGTATTAGTACTTGTTTTAAGCAATCGTCAGATAAAAGTTAATCCGGTATAACAATTGGCTAAGTTTAGCCTATAATTCTACCCTGTCTACTGTCAATAAAGATATTGTTTTGTTTTTTAAGTAAGAAAGAACAGTGGTTTAAGGGCTGCCAATATCTAAATCCATGCAAATAAATGCTGTCTCTCCAGTTTGTTAAAAAGACACACAAATCTCTATATAAATCCTTCTGGAAGGGTTATAGCCTTTTATTCCCCCTTTGTGTCTTCATCAAGTATGTGCTGCCCCTGTGCCAGTGACTTTCTTTAGTCTGGTCATCTTGCCTGTAACATGCTATTTATTCTTTGAACAGCACTTTTTGCTATGGGATACTGTTGAGAAATTGTAGTGAAAGTCAGTATAAAAGGGAATTTCAGCCTTTGTAACCATATCAAATGTTTATATCTACATGTGTATGTAATATGTCTAATTTTTTTATATTTCAGAAAATGTGGTAGCCATGCAGTATACACATATGGCTATGGATTCTTGTAAAGAAAACATAGTGGACCTCTCAAAAGACAGAAAGCTTGGGTATTGTGTTTGTCATTCTCCTCTTCCACTGTAGCTTTGCTCTTTAAGATATCATAAATATCTTATCACAACCCAATAAGGCTAGTAAAGTTTTAATGGTAGCTTCGAGTTAGAAGGTACTAGTTGTGAATGTAAACATAGTGGTAAACCTAAACACTTGCTATACTGAAACAGCTAGCTAACAGTTCCCTGAACTTGCATTTTCTGAAATTCATTTCAGGGTTCAAACTGTAAGTTCTTTTATAATGCCAAGACCCCAATATGTCAAGTATTGAAAAACTGAGGAAATACAAATTATACTTTATACACCCATTTAATTGAGAAACCCAGTGCCTTTTAATAGAAGATAGAATGTTTAATCCTTTTTAGGTACTGGTGAAAGGTAAAGTTCCATTGTATTGATTAGGCTGATGTATGTAACAAGTACAAAAAGTAGTTACCATTTTTTGTTTATTGTAATCCAGTCACAGTGTTTATGCTTTCTGTGTGCTGTATCCTTTTAATCCTTAGAACAACTTGAGCTATGACAGTTGTTTAGCACATTGGCAAAATCACAAATAGAAAATACATGAATGAGAGTCCTCTCGTGTATTGGTTTGTCTTAGTATTATAAAAAGCCATTTAGAATGAAAAATACTTAGTCTTGATCATAGTAGTGCTATTTAGATAAAATTTTTGGGAATAAACTCATTCCTTCCCACAGTTACTATTAAATAACAAATATATCATCTTACCTGTTTACCTAAGATATTAAGTGATTTTGATTATATTTCTGTTGATATCTTATGTCTTAGTAGCTGTGTATTTATTTATACATATTGGTTTAATGAACATTATTTGATCAACTCAACCTTTGAGTTAATTTTGAAATGCTATTCTTACAATGAAAATGAGCTATTATTTTCATGAAATGTAAAAGGCTTCTAATCACGTGAAGTTTTTGTTTTCTCTTTTTTTCCACATACAGTCCAATTGAAGAGAAATTTTCAGCATCTTTACCCTGTCCTAGTCAGCCTGCCACAGGTGGTTTGCTCACCAAGGAAGCAGTGTTCAGCCTTGAGGCTTATAAATGCACAGACACTGGCTATGCAACGGTGGAAGACCTATCAGATGCCAGCGCTGGACTCCAAGTTGAATGGGTTCAAGCTAGTTCACTTGGAAATGTCAATGCTCCAAGTATGCACACATGCTCAATCATAGTTTTGCCATAAGAATGATAGCATGGAAAAGCCATTCAATGAAACAACAGAGCAGGAACTTAAATACACCAAATAGAAGATAAACTTAGACAAACTTGTAACAGTATCACAAAATAATTCACTACTAACAGATTTGAGATCCATCAATCCATTTTAATCTTGACAGACAATAAGGTCATACTAATATAAAAAGGAATTAGGGGCCTAGAGAGATGGTATACTGGTTAAGAGAACTACTGACTGTTCTTCCAGTGGACCCAGGTTTGGTTTTCAACACCTACATCTATAATTCCAGTTCCATGGAATCTGGAACCCTCATGTGATCTCTCTAGGCACTAGGCGTAAATAGATCTTTAAAAGAGAGTTCAAGGTTATGAGTTTACTGTGTGTTAAATATATAATCTAGTATTACCCTCTACCCTGTATGTAACAGGACAATTGGTCAAGACCAAATATTAAAAGAATTAAGAGATATCTTCCAGGGGGCTGTAGAGATTGCTCAGTGGTTAGAGCACTAATGGCTCTTCCAGAAGTTCTGAGTTCAGTTCCCAGCAACCACATGGTGGCTCACAACCATCTGTAATGGGATCTGATGCCCTCTTCTGGTGTGTTTGAAGACAGCTACAGTGTACTCACATAAAAAATAAAATAAATCTTTAAAAAAAAAAAAAAAAAGTCTTCCTCTGTCCCTTGTTATACAGAAAGTCTTACTTGAGAACATAGACTCTGGAACTAAACTAAGTTCTAAGGCTAGGCTCTAATTACCAGCTCCCCAACCAACTACATGCTTGTTCTCTTTAAAGTGAGGTCAGGTGGAGAGATGACTCAGGAGTTAAGATCACTGGCTGATCTTCCAGAGGACCCAGGTTCAATCTCCAGCATCCACACAGTGTCTCAACTGTCTGTAGCCCCAATTCCAGGGGATCTGATGCCATACATATCACATACATATATGTATATATGTAGCCAAAACAAGTGATATGTATTAAAAAATTAAATATATCTTAAAATGAAGGCCATACTAGTACCTTAGAGGCTTACTATAAGAACTAAATGAGTTCATAAATCTCAGAACTTTGTTCTGTGTGTACTAAGTAGTAACCATGTTGGAGAGTAGCCTTTTCAAACTACCACTAATAGAATGTTTTATAACACTAACTGGGATAGGAGGCTTTGTCTTTCCTTTAGGAATTGTTTCCCTTTACACAGTATTCCTTTTCATGCAAATTCTTTGTAAGTAGTGTATTTTATGTGTATTAGTGGGGGAAACAGAATATATGTCTGAGCATACTAGAAGCAGTTAAATGTTCACCTATACCTTTAAGATGTGCAGCTATACTTTTAAAAGATGCAAATCCTGCAGGTCCAGATGAGTCAAAAAGCAGCTAGTTGATTCCCTTTGTCACAACTGGATAGTCAACCTAAATTTGTAGAATTTCTGCCTCAAATGACAGAACAACTGATTTTAGCTTATTTTCTTAATTGAATCAAGTTCTACATGGAATAAAAGTTTGAAAACATTTAATGAATACGTGTACTTATCTAAGGTTTCTGTTAAAATATTTGCTGAATTTATGTTTTGTTTTTTTTCCTGTTTAAGACTTTACTATTGAGAACCCATGGGATGATGAATTGATTCTTAAACTTCTATCTGGGCTTTCTAAGCCGGTTACTTCCTATTCAAATACTTTTGTATGGCAGAGTAAACTTCCAGCCATCAAGACCAAGACAGAATTCCAGTTGGGTAAGAATTTTGAATTCTTATTTGTGAGAAACTGTTAGTAATTCTGAAAATCTCCTACCCTTTCTACCTTCAAGAAAGTTAATATCTGCCATGTTGAGAAATTTTGTTAAGCAATGATATTGGAATTGTGATTGCTGTTGGACTTTAATTTGGCAATAATTTATCAAAGTTAAAAATACATGTACTCCTGGATAGAGATGTTCAGAGGTTATAAGAGCACTTTCAGGAGACATCAGTTTGGTTTCCAGCACCCATGTTGGGCAGCTCACAACTCCCTAAGTCAAAAACTTCTAAAATCAAAAATTTTAAACCATTCTAAACTATTACAAATATGTATGCACTTTGTTACTATACAGATAAGTATACTGAGGCATCAGGGCTGCTTTCACCCCTCTTTTAGAATTTGTTAAGGAGGTTCTCTCTTGGTGGGTATACATTTTACTGGAGAACTTATACCCATTTTTTAGGCTTTTTGTCAGTTTTTTGTATCATTTCCCAAGGTTCTTTGCTGGTCTATGTGAATCACCTTCTTGGAGAAGGAGCCTTTGCTCAAGTCTTTGAAGCTATTCATGGAGATGTGAAAGATACCAAAAGTAAACAGAAATGTATTTTGAAGGTAAATGATATGAATAACTTCTTAAATAATGTAGATGTGAATTTTTGAAAGTTGTTAGCTTCCTCTGCTGACTCCCCTTTAAATACTGATGTCAATGAGGCCCTAGTCAACAGTTAAACACAACTATCCTAGGATTGTCTAAGATTATCCTGCAAGCTTTATACTGCTGACCATGCTTAGTTTATCCTCAGTTTTTTGTCCATATCCTTACTGGGAGGAGTTGCTTTCTTGCTATTTTACAGAATATGGATAAGGATATGTGTATCACATACCTGATTTGATTTGTAGGTGCAGAGACCTGCCAACTCTTGGGAATTCTACATTGGGATGCAGCTCATGGAAAGACTAAAGCCAGAAGTACATCACATGTTCATCAAGTTTTATTCTGCTCATTTATTCCAGAACGGCAGCATATTAGTAGGGGAGCTCTACAGCTATGGGACTTTACTAGTAAGTATCTCATTTTCATACTGTGAACTTGAAGTGTTTGTGCATTTCTGGTTTTTGCCTACAGTATTTTTCACAGTTGGAACTTTTGTTGGAATAGAGAGCAGGGGTAAAGGCCTTGACTTGAAATTTCATTAATCTTCTGCAACCAACTTAAAATGCCATTTGCCTTATTTCTAGAATGTCATTAACCTCTATAAAAATACCCCTGAAAAAGTGATGCCCCAGGCTCTCGTCATCACTTTCGCTATCAGAATGCTTTACATGGTTGAACAAGTCCACAGCTGTGAAATTATTCATGGTGACATTAAGCCAGATAACTTCATACTAGGACACAGGTAAGTATGACACTTTAATAGAATTCTTTCCTCATGTTTTGCTTTGTCTTCCCTATAGGAATTGTTTTGTTATCCTTTGTTTTGTTAGGTATCCTTTTGTTAATTTGTGCTCATAGATCCTGGTCTTTGTTTGTATTTAATGTAGATTTTTGGAACAGGATGATGAAGACTTAGCTACTGGCTTGGCATTGATTGACCTGGGTCAGAGTATAGATATGAAACTTTTCCCTAAAGGAACTGTATTTACAGGAAAGTGTGAAACATCTGGTTTTCAATGTCCTGAGATGCTCAGTAACAAGCCATGGAACTACCAGGTATGGAAGGAAAGCAAGAGGTTAGCAAGAGGTTTTGTTTCATTTTGTTTTTTTGTTTTTTTGTTTTGTTTTGTTTTTTTGTTTTTTTTTGGTTTGGTTTTTGGTTTTGTTTTGAGACAAGATTAATCTGTGTAACCCTGGCTACCTGGAACTTATTCCGTAGACCAGGCTGGCCTTGAACTCAAAGAGATTGCCTGCCTCTGCCTCCCAAATTCTGGGATTAAAGCCACATGCCACCACCACCTGGCAGAAAAGCAAGAGATTTGAAAACGTTTTCTTTATTACACTTACCAGACTTGCAAAATGAGTTTAAAGCGCCAGGTAGTTTGAACTAGTCTCTTGAGCACTGAAGGAAAGGTAAAATGTAAGGCTAAAGAGGAGGAAGAAATTCTACTTCTGAACAGTCTTCCTTATTATTCAGATTCTATCAACAGAACAGGAAAACGAATACATTCTCTGGGAAAGTTTCAGAATTTTCAACAAAGTAGAATATTAGCTGGCAAGCAAAGAAGATACTACTAATTAGGATAGATGTAAATGTTTTGAGCCTGGGTTAATAAAACAAAACAGCTTCCCAGTTTCCAGATACAGAGCTGTGATTTCCAGAAGCCCATAATAAAGGGAGCACAAGTGAGGGCCTTATTTCTGGATGGTTACTCATAGGAAGGCTTCAGGTAGATGAATGCTGATATCAGCATAGAGAATGGATAGTTTGCTATCCTACAGATTTGGACTATGCTAGAATGTTTTATTCTATTATCACACAGAGACACTGGTGTACAGTTATACAATAACCACCAGAGTCCCAGGGGATAGGATTGGAAGAACTGCCAAGCTGTTTGTATTTGCAGGAAGTAATAGAACAGAGGACTTGTGGGAGACATTATTTAAATGATGGTAGAGCTTCTCAAAGGGTTACCTCAGAGGGAGTAGTGTTTGTGTTCATAGACGCCTCAGTGAGCTTAGACAGGCATTCAGTGAAGCAAATCATTGGCTTTTGGAATTCTGTAAACCTAAAATACTGTGGTTATTTAGCTTCTAAGTTAGAGACGTTTTAATATACTCACAGGTAAGTGACTGTTTACAATGCATGTATCTGCTTTCTTCATAGGTTGATTACTATGGAGTTGCTGCAACAATATACTGTATGCTCTTTGGCACTTACATGAAAGTAAAAAATGAAGGAGGAGTCTGGAAACCTGAAGGTCTTTTTAGAAGGTAAGTTATTGGAATCAGTGCTACAGTGGAAAAACAGTAACAGTAAAACAGTATATGTTATCTAGCCAGAAAATGAGCCTGGACAGTGTGGTGACAGAGCATAATCCTGACATTAGGCACTGAACAAATTTAGCATTCAGTGTGCCTTGTGACACCATTGAGAGTTCCTGAGCATGCATGTAGCATCCTGTTTTTGACTGGTTTTTTTTTTTTTTGTTTTGGTTTTTTTTTTTTTTTTTTTTTTGGTTTTTCGAGACTGTTTATTTTTTAAGTGAAGTCAATATTTGTAAGCCTTGCAGTTTTGTTTATTTTTTTGTGTATGTAAATGAGAATATTAATAATGATCATTTCAAAAATGTTTTTTTTTAAAAAGTAGCCGGGCAGTGGTGGCGCTCGCCTTTAATTCCAGCACTTGGGAGGCAGGGGCAGGCGGATTTCTGAGTTCGAGAACAGCCAGGGCTACATAGAGAAACCCTGTCTCGAAAAACCAAACCAAAAAAAAAAAAGTAGCTAGGACTGCTAAGTGTGAGCTCTATAGTTTAGGCTGTCCAGTCTTGCCACATATGTATGCAGTTGAGCTTAATATATTAAAAACAAAATAACTAGATTATCAGATTTTGGCAGTATTATATACACAGGAAGCCAAAAGAAGATAGATTATTCTTTAAAAATTAATTTTTCTACCGAAGAACTATTGCAAAAGGCTATTTTAAATCATATTTTTAGAACAAGGTATATTTAGACGTGGTTGGGTTTTTAATTTCTCCTATTTGTGATGGATTCTTGATTCACTAAGATACAGGTAGATGAGAGTTGTTCTTTTAACATGTCCACACCTGTACAAGGTAGATGCAGAAACTGGTTGCTATGAACATTGAAGGTTGCATTTTATCCATTGAAATGTTTTGTCTCTTCAGGCTTCCTCATTTGGATATGTGGGAGGAATTCTTTCACATCATGTTGAATATACCAGGTTGTCATAATCTTCCATCTTTGGATTTTCTGAGACAAAAGATGAAGAAATTACTTGAACAACAGTATTCTAACAAGATTAAGACCTTGCGTAATAGGCTAATTGTGCTGCTTTCAGAATATAAGCGTTCAAGAAAATAAAATATGAATATGGACCTTCTCCAAAGCACACTTTGTAAATTTAAACTCTCACTTTGAATCCTATTTTTTCATACTTATTATTTATGTATGTTAAAAAATAAAGCCCATACGATACACCCATGTGACCTAGTTGTTATATATATTCTAACAAAGTAAGGAGACCCATGTAAGCAGGCTGATATGTTGAGTTGCTGTTGGTGTACAAGTCTTCATGAGAATGACTCAAATTTAAATGCTTTCTAGAAGACACCCACCTGCCCCTGCCCCCAAGACAGTGTTTCTCAATATAACCAGAGCCTAGTTATCCTGGACTTGAGCTCATAGAGAACTGTATATTACTGTCTACACGCAGGTGAAGGCAGGCACGAGATAAGAGACTGTAATTGGACAGTGGAAAAGTAAGGCGGGCTGAGAATTTTAGAGACAGGTACAGAAAGAGACAGAAGAGGATGGAGAGGAGGAGACAAGATGGAACTTAGAGGAAAGGAAGAGGAGCCAGAACCACACAGTCCTAGGAGCCATAAGTATTGGGGATTTCCTAAAATAGATGATTAAGTAGGGTACATTTGCCCCATCTAGGTGTGTAGCTTGTGTTTATATCAATTGAGTTTTGAGTTCATTGTACAGGCGTTTTGTGAGTTGAGAATTTACTAATATAAATCTGACTGATAGTTTACAAGCCTCTAGAGTTTTGAATTTACTGGTTAAGGTGATTTGTGACAGCCAACCACAGGGGGCGTGCGGATGGCTGGGAATGTGATCAGAGAGTCTGCCTGGATGAGAACAGACCAGCAGCCAGTATCTTGCCTGCAGTAGCGTGGATTGCTTTTTAAATATTTCCCACTGCAGAGAACTGCCTGCCTCTGCCTCCCAAGTGCTGGGATTACAGGGGTACACCACCATGCCCTGCTAGAAGTCACCTTTCTAAACAAAGTCAAAAGCCAAAAAGAGTTAAAAATTATGTCTAACTAGCATATGTAGGATTAGGTTTCCTTATGGCATTTTAAGAAAAAAAATGTTTTTGTTGATTTTTCTTCTCCTCTTTGTTCTCTTTCACACCCTATAGCTTACTTTCCACTTTCATGTCTCATCTGTCCATGCCCCTTCCTCCTTTCTCAACATCTTTTTCCCTTAAGGTCTTTTTAATTCATAACCCACACTTACTGTCGACCCCATTTATATGATATAAACATATGTTTATGATAGGATCTGCATATGAGAGAAACTTTTTTTGTCTTTCTGAGTTACTTATACTTTCTAACTCCATCTATTTTCATACAAGTTTCATGGTGTACATCTGAATAGAATTGTGTATGATACCACGTTGTCATTATACATCCATCAGTTGATTGATAAACTTGTGAGCTGATTCCATTTCCTTGCTATTGTGAATAGAGGACATGCAGGTTTCTCTTGTAGAAGATAGAATTCTTTGTGTGCCCAGGAGTGGGTTTTCTCCTCCTCCTCTTCTCCTCTTCCTT